ATGTTACAAACTAAAATTACCATGCAGCACCATGGGAATATTTGTGATATGAAAGAGTGGAATGGGGACTTTGTGACAAGTACATGGAGGAGAGAAAAGGAAGCTAGATGGCTTGAATATGAGTTCAAGGTTTTGCAAGTAAGAGATGTAATGGTACAAGGAATGCAAAATAAAATTATGCCAACAGAATTTGGTTTCAGTATTGTTTAGGATTTCTGTCTCTGAGAGAAGCATTTTCAAGTCTGTGGCTGCTAATGCTCCAGCACAATTGATGTGCAAATCATATGTAATGTATTATAGAACACAGTGTATTAACTCAGCTTCAAAGTGTTAATATGTCATGAAACTTAATTCGGATATCACAGATTATGCAAAGGAGGCAGAGGTGTGGAAACACTCTTGGTTTTCAAAGGTGTCAGCCAGACTTTGCTTTGTGTCACCCAGTCTAAGATGACATAGCAGCAGCTTGCTCTAAACCTCTTTCACAAGGTTTTGTGGATCTTCACCCCAGTATTTTTGGTAGAGATCATGTACTGAGGGCAAAATGACACACTTAAAAAAAAAAAAAGCATAAGCCTTTGAATATAATACACTTGTCCAGGTTTTGCAGTGCCACAGCTGCAAATACATTTTATATCGCAAATGTGAAAATTGTATAATATAAACACAGAAGAATTTATCATTTCTTCATCTACAATAAACAGAAGTCCTATCTTTAGTGCTCTATGGCTAAAGAATCCAGCTGTACTCTCTGAATGTCCATGAATAGACGGCAGCAACAGAGACTATTTTCTTGACTGGCAACTGGGAATAACGATAGCAAACCTTCAACCCCATTAGTTCACTTGGGAATGAAGTCGCATGGAGCCTCATACAGCACCTGGGAATGGAGCTCATGACAACCCACAGTACTTAAAATGGAGGTAAAGACCTCCCATTTCCACACACACATTTTTTGTGAATCTCTCACTAACTGCTTTCTCCCTGAGGACTTCTAGTCTTCATGCAGGCTGCTACTAAAGGAGACCATAAACAGCCTGTACCAAAGCTTCTTTGGAAGCAGCAGAGGGAAGGCATCCACAGGAAGCTTTGCTTGTGATATACGGTTTTCCAAGTCCCTTTGGAGGAACTTCAGGTGAGGGAAAAGGAGGTCCACTATCTAAGCCTGAAGAAGAGGAGAAGCATAATCTACTAAGTCTAAACGTGCAGTTTAGCTTCTGACACCAACACATCCTTCTTGCATGACCTTGGCTCTGATGCTTTTAAAAAGAGGCTTGAAGAGATAAGTCTAGTTGTCTCTCTGTGTCTTCAACCATAGAAAAGGGAAAATAGAGGACAATTTTTTTTACTTATAGAGATAATTTAAGTAGGTAATATTAAACATTGAAATATTAAGATATTCTGGAGATGGATTAAATATTTAATACAGAGTGACCACTAACATACGTATTATTATGGGATGTGTAACTTCAGATAAAACACCCAAGGCTTTTAAAGAATGTAATTAGAAAATAATGTTATGCAAAATACTTCATGATTTTATTAATAAATTCTTTAGGATTCCCATGATTTGAAGCAAGAATTTGAAATCTAAACCAAGGATGGTTAGATAAGTGCATTTTTCTTTGTAAGTAAAAAATCCACTTACTTGTAATTAAAACACAACTCTGTCTCAGAAACCATACACACACAAACCCAGAAGAACCAAACTAACTCTTGAGACTTTGAGGAATCTACCTTCAGTTGATAGCTGTGGGGGCTTAAGCCCTCATGATTATCTAGGCTATGTTTGTATTGTTCATACTAAGCTGAGAGGGAAAAGGGATGCTTTCAATATTCAGGCTTAACTAACACACTCACAAGAACAGACTCAATTTAGACTAACTCAGCATTCTAGAGTATTTGGAGACAAAGAGAAATAAACTAGGACAACAGATGAAGTCCAGGATTCCCTGGAATTAAAAACAGCTAACAGAACTGATCATGTCCCTGCACACTAGCTGAGGCCACACATGTCTCTCCTCAGCGGCCAGTTTGGGGAAGGTGGAAGAAATGAAACAAAGCAAAAAGATGCTGTTTGCAGGAGAGCTTCAAGGGGGGAGCCATGTTCAAGAGAGAATCCCCACACATTATACAGAAATCTTGATATAATTTAAGAATGCTGAGAAGTTATAAAGAGTTGTATTCTTCATCTTTTCATAATCTGTCAAAACTGTTCCTCCTATAAGATCAACATCCAATGCTACCAGTCGTCCCCCCCCCAAAGCATTTATTTGAATATACACTTAGTAAAACACCATTCATGGTGGCTGACAAACAATCTGGGAGACTGTTGAGCCATCCAGTTACAAATATACACCACCAATGCAGAGTTAAGCATCTTTTAAAACGATAAAACAACATAACATATCACCAGATCATACTTCACTGTCAGCTTTTTTCTCAGCTACTTCAGGGGACATCCAGCTCTCACCAGCCTGCACTCACCAGCTTATTCTGTCCCATTCCTTGGTGGTGGGAGCTCTAGGTTCTCCTCATCTTCCCTTGGCCAAGTTAGAACATCCTGATCTCTCTAAGGTGCTCCTCACAAGGGGTTGCTTCCTACTTTCTCCTCTAATGGTAATCTCATTCTGGAGTTTCCACCAAATATGGCTGTGAAGGCTTAGTTTTCCTATATCCTGCTTTATGCAATTAAACTTAGGATATAATAGAAGACTTAGAATATATAATTAAAGCTTAGGTTGTAATAAAAGGGACGCTCTTTTGTTTAAACTCTCGGCCTTACTGTGGCTGCTTCAAATTTGTATTTCTATCATTCTCTAATTAGTATCTCTCTTCTGTCTTTAGGCTGGCTTTTCCTGTTTCTAAGGCTGTGGTAAAACATCATAAATATTTTAACCTAGAAAAAAATGATCATACCAACACTTTACAAAAGCTACAATTATCAGTTTGCTCTCAATATTAAACAGAGAATGAAGATGACAATAACATTAACAGAAAATGGGTGTGAGAAAGGGGTTACTTGAATGATTTAAACTCTTCTTAGACAGACAGGGCAACTTCTGGGGGCTTCTTCACAATAAATAAAACTATCTCTCTGAAGCTAATTAGTTCAGGTGTGGCAGCAGTCTGATGAGTCTTGAAGGTGGCTCACCTGGAGTCAGGTATTCACCCACTACCAAACAATATGCACATATTTTTCCCATCTCTCATGCTCTTAACCTTGTTTCAACAAACACCTGAGCATGCAGGAAAAGCGAAAGCACAGGAGCCAAGACAGAAGCCTCACCAGGACCAAGAGCAAGCCATTAAAATAATAGAAAAGGAAGAAGAATGTGGTAACGAGGAACATATAGGAGTAATTTCCTTCCAGTTCCTCTAGCCCATCCATTTTCTCACATCCCTCTGCTAGTTCCTCTGTGACAGCTTTTCAGGTTGTATGGTCTTCTTTCTTTATGATTTACCCTGTCAAGTGCTTGGATTACAGGTGCTTGTCAGTGTGTTGCTGTGTGCTTGCACACCAAGCACAAACCTAGAGAGAACCTAAGTCTGTTTCCCCAGCACCAGAAACAGTGAAAGGAAGCAAAGTCCCCAGACAAGTCAACCATCAGCTTTACAGCAGAACACTGGAAAACACCAATTCTTTCTTCACCCTTTTTTCAGTCCAAACCCACTATCATACTCAGTATACTCTTCAAAGAAGTAAAAAGAATTACTGCAAAACACACCTAAACTCCCTTTTCTCATCTAGAAAGCACACATTTTCAAATTCTGTCCACTCCTGCAACCAAAAAAAAAAAAAAGTGTGTGAAGCTAGCATGCTGAAATGGGCTTTCAATTCAAAATAACCCACACATAGAATATATAACTTCAACTTTGTGATAAGCCAGTCAACTATGCATTAAGCTCTGCTCAGCAAAATCAGTTCCAGCAGAGCTCTGACGGGCATTCAAAATAGATTACACAACAAATCAAAAATCACCAATGACTTCTGCATTGTGATATGACTCTTGGTTCTTTGAGGCTGATCCTTGCAGTAATAAATCTATTATGCATCTTTGATGTTACACACCAGCCTCTGCCAACAAATCCACTTCGAGGATATACCTAATGTTCCAAGGCTTTAGAAGCTTTAGTCTGTATTAATTAATTAAAAAGGAAGAAGAAGAAAAAAAAGAAGAAAAAGATATCTATGTTCCTTAGGGCAATATTCAGTCTGATCCCACTGTCAGCTTTCCTTGCAGCTTTGAAATCCATTACCTTTTGCAAGAATAGGAGCCTTACGGCAGCCTTCAAAAACAGCTTCTACCTTCCACACAGGAATTGCAGCTCTTCAGTGGCAGATCAAGGTCTCCATGCGGTACAGAACAGCAATTACCTAGTGAATGTAACAAATACGCCAGCAAGCATGTATGAAAAAGAGTATATGTAAAGACAGAAAGCTCTGATAACAGCTAGTCAGAACTCATCCCAGAAACTCCTCTCTGAGCAACAGTTTCCGGGGGAGGGGAGAATTAAAACAAATCTGGCTGTGCATCTTGCAGTTGCTGAAGTTTGAAATACCAAACACAGTAATATACTCATAAGGGCTGAGTTCTTCACTTTGTTTGTACAATGGTTGGATGCAGGAGGAATGGAAAATTCCTGCTAAGAATTCCTTCTCCTGGGTCAACTGGACCTAAAAGGATTTAAGAAAAACTGGATGCCTGCTCTAAGGAAAGCCATTAGTGTCAAAGTGCTATCAAAACGTAGACCTCTGAGAGCTTCAACCCCGTTTACGGATGCTAGACCAGAACATTAGATACAGACTTCTTTGTAAATATTCTGCTACGAAAAGAATCACCCCTTTAACTGGGTACAGAATCTAAACACCACACAATCAAAAAAACAGGCCAAAATCATGCCAAATCTTTCCCAGAACATTTGATTTTTCAGAGGAAGAGACAATTTAGATCAGTTCAAACCTCAGCATGTCTTCCATTCATTTAATACGAACACACGTGTCAGATTTTCTTTCCGTCTGAGGTGCAGTACCAGTTGTGGGGTTCACACCTCACAGTATGTATCTGTGTAGTGAGGATGGGTGGATTACTCAGACAGCCTTCTCCCTCTGCCCATCACCCTTTCCAAAACAAAACAAATGGCTATAAGGTCAGTTATGAAAGTTGTCTGATAATTACACAGACTAATTATTAGTCTTTCATTTTGATAGTTAGCATTTCAAAAGTATTTTATTAATCAACCTTGTTACAGGTAGGGACCATTGTAAACTTTGGATATTTTTTTTGTTAATGTCTTTAGAGTATTTTTTGTTACTAAATCACCACTGAGGTTTCCAAAGCTCTTGTTATAGAGATTGTAATAGCTTGACACTGCCCACACCTCTTTTAATTCCAATTCACTATCTAGGTAAATCACTATCTAAAATTGTCAGTATACTCTCCAGATATCACTATCTAGAATAATCAGGCTCCTAATGTTGAGCAGATACAGTAATAACATACCTAATCTTTAACTTTCATGATAGGATCCCTTTGAGACAGAATAAAAATAAGATTAATGTATTAGTATGATAATAAATAGCTAAAATGAATGAAATACTGCAAAAGTGGAAAGTATGAACCAATGGAAGAACTATCACACAAGCCGTAATGTGAATTATTGGCTTTGTGTCTATACAATACCAGCTGTATATGTTCTGTAGCCTCTTATGACCCTGCAAAGCACACATAAAACCTTACTAGATCAAAATTATTCTAATTCCCCACTCAATTTCCACACATGGAAGTGTCTACAGAAGGTGCAAGGCAGGGGAGAGAGTGGTCAGTCAGTCGTGTTTTAATTTATAGCTATTTTTGCCTAAGCCCTGAATGGCCTGCCAATTATGAATAGTACCAGCTGGGCTGTCAGGAGAGCATACCAAGAAGGACACATAGAAGAAAATAATAATAATAATATAAAAATGAAGAGCAGGAGAAATGTTTGGAGTAGGCAAGACCTGATGGGGATCCCAGCTCTGGTGTTAAAATGCCTTGCTACAGTCGTATCTTCCCCACCACCCCCAAATAAAAAGAGGATGATAACTGTCATCACTATCTGGATATAGGTTTAGACTTTGACTTTTAGGGGTATAATCCAGGTACTTAGTAAGTATAAAAACTGGGACTTTTCTGTACTTAAATAAGCAGCAAAAAGAACTGCATGTGATGATGACGACAAGGGTGTGGTTAGTAGGTCAAGAGAGGTTCTCCTCCCCCTCTACTCTGCCTTGGTGAGGCCGCATCTGGAATACTGTGTCCAGTTCTGGGCCCCTCAGTTCAAGAAAGACAGGGAACTGCTTGAAAGAGTCCAGAGCAGAGCTACAAAGATTAAGGGAGTGGAACACCTCCCTTATGAGGAGAGGCTGAGGGAGCCTGGTCTCTTTAGCTTGGAGAAGAGGAGACTGAGGGGTGACCTCATCAATGTTTACAAATATGTAGAAGGTGAGTGTCAGGATGATCGAGCTAGGCTTTTTTCAGTGACGTCCAGTGATAGGACAAGGGGCAATGGGTGTAAACTGGAGCATAGGAGGTTCCATGTGAACATCAGGAGAAAGTTCTTTACTGTGAGAGTGACAGAGCACTGGAACAGGTTGCCCAGAGGGGTTGTGGAGTCCCCTACTTTGGAGATATTCAAGGCCAGCCTGGACAAGTTCCTGTGTGACGTACTTTAGGTTACCCTGCTCTTGCAGGGGGGTTGGACTAGATGATCTTTTGAGGTCCCTTCCAACCCTTGGGATTCTGTGATTCTGTGTGACAAGAGTCTTTTGAATGGTTGTTGTCTTATTTTCAAATAACAAATCACTAGCTTCTTTCATTTTTATTTAACAAAATGATTTCTACATGAGTTTGATACAAAACTTCAAAAAAAGAATTTTTGGTAATGTGGCAGCCCTACTGTTTTTTAAGAAGCTCTTTTCACAGCCCACGCCACAGGGACAATATAGAACATAATACTTTTAAACAAAACCTGATGAATACCCATCAACAGAGTCATGTCTTGAGCAGCTATCAAGAGTACAAATAATAAACACTCGCATTAAAAAACAAAGATTTTGTTCAATTACTGTTACAATGTCAGTGCTGCATCTACTCTGGTATATATATAGAAATATTGCATTTGGCAAAACGGTAGTTTTGGAAACTGATCTGCTTTTTATGACTACTCTTATGCATGAAAAAATTAAGAGATTTACCCCATGTTTTATTGTAAGCTGCATTTGTAGATGCAGATCAGTTTAAAAAGTATATTTATACTCATGCATTTCACTTTATATCAGCATCATAGCGATAAATTCTGCAGTAGCCTCTCCTCCTCTCATTTTCATAGCCTTGTAGGAGAGGCAAGGCAGACAAGCCAGTATGAAAAGCCAGCAGACCATAACTCCTCTACTACAGACAAGTGACAATTAATCACATTCACCAGCTAGGCAGGTAGCTCTTGTCCTTTAACACTGGAGGAAACATAAAGCTCCTCTCTCTGAGCACTGATTGTCCAAGTGATATTGGAGCTTTCAGAAGCAGTTACTGAGCCACTGAGATAGATACTTTAAAATGAGGTGAACCAAGACCTAAATATGCCAGTCTTTTGCTGTTTTATTAATCCTTATTTTTTGAGGAGCACTGAAAGCACAAACAACTGCTGGAGTGGAATATTTATCATCATTTTTCCCTGCAAGACCTTAATTTGATTCTCCCGTGCAGGGGTTTGAGGTCCCAAGGGCTCATTAAGACTCTGACCACAGCACCCCTGCTCAAAGGGGAGCCAGCCCCACTCATGGCTGTGGAAGTGCAGCCATTGCAGACTGAGAGACATACACCTCCCTTGGAACAAGAAGGACGGGAACAAGCCATAACACCAGCAAATGTATCTACTGTGGGACTAAGGAGAAAAGGATAATTGCTTTTTTCAGTTTTGCTCTCAAGCAACTAACCTTTGTGGTTTAGCTTTCTCCATATATGCATAACTCATTGATTTATTCTGAAAATTACATAATGCTTTTGAAGTGCAAAGAGAGACTAAAAAGCATATCCAAAATCTGTGACAGCCACAGCTCATCTGTTTCCTACGGTTCCCTAGCGTAGGTTTTATTTCCATGTGAGTCAATCACGTTTCAGTGAGTGTAACAGAGTTACTTTTGTAAGCCTTCCAAAAACCCGTCAGCTAGGACACAATGATGTACTGACCCCTTGGAGGGGGAAAGAGTTGCAGATATAATTTCATGAGACCACACTGAAATGTTAAGATTACCTGTGGAATCTCTCCTTCGGTTGCTCAGCAGAACTGAAGCACTCAGAAACCCACCTTTTTGAAAAAAGATATGGGTCTTATTTTAGCTGCTGAAGATTATTTAACCTAGGACTGCTAAATAAAAAAACCTCCACATTGCAACTTGATTCCCCAAGTTGAGGGAGCTCCTCGTTGGCTTTGCTAACTGAACAGAAATCCCACTGAAAGAAGAAAACTGCAATGAGGAACGTGAAATGAGAAGTCCTGTTTGTTACAGAAGTACACTCATATCGCTTTCACACAGGCTCCAGCCTCCTGTCAACACAAAAGCTGTTGAAATGAACATTTGAAGCATGTAGGCTGAAAGTGCAGGCAGAAATGGGTGATGATCAGGGCATGTCAATAATGTCACACAGCTGGAGCACTGCCCTGTCATGGTGAACAGCTGTTCTCCAAAGGACTAATCACACAGGAAGAGGTAGAACATAAAATTCTCCATTTTCAGAGAGGTTACTGCTTCTCCTGATGCCACCTCTTTTAATTATTTTCTCCCTTTCCGTCCAGTTTCATGTTGGAACAGTCTAGCCACAATGTGTACAGCAACGTCTCTGACATGTAGGTGTGAACTTTAAGAGTGCCAATGTTTTGACTTCAACAAATCATCTGGCAGCAGTGCTCCACTCCAGATGTGGAAGGATTCAGTGATTCTGAAATTCTTTAAAAACAAAACCAATTTATCAGAGTAACGAAAGGGAATTTATTAGAGTGAAATATACTTCCTACTACAGTTCACTTACAGACAAAATATAAAGTTCTTGCTGGGTTCTAAAAAATCTAGCTCAGAGTCCAACACATAGTCTATTGAAACCATCACTTCAGTAAAGGACTCACAAAAGCCTAGAGCCAAAGAGGCCCCAAGGTGGTAGATACATTAGAAACCAAGCTATGAGGTGCATCAGTTTGGATATACCTCACCTGTGCAATCTGGGAGGTAATACTGGGAGGAATAAAAAAATAAAAAAAATCAGAATAAAATGTAGGGAATTCTCTTTAGTTTGCTCAAAAAAAGCCTGAGTTAGTCCATCTAAATGCAATATCATTTCCCAAATGCTTAAAGATAATAGCAGGCAGGATAACAACCATAAAGCAAAACAGAATATAGCTTTCATCATCTCAGAAGTGTTTGAAAACTCAGCCCATGCCAGGACAAAATGGCTGTTATTTGCCTCTAACCATTCCAGCCATCCTATTTTTGAGGATCACAGTGATAAACAATTCCCTGAAGAATACTGTAATTCTACAGCACTGATGAGCCCAGTATCAACGCCTGTGTTAAGGGCAAGTTCAAAGACTATTCAGTATCTGCTTGATAAGCTTCGCAGAGAGGTCATTAACTAGGACAGTTAGTTATCCTCTTCATGAAAATGCTCTATATTTTTGTTTCCTCATCAAGATCCCTGTTTTAGGGAACCTTCCCTGGCTGCCTAGATACACCTAAAGGGAAAGGTACACATGTAGCAGTAAGCCAGCACACGCACATTTTAGCTTGTATGGCTAAAGCATGTTTGTGGTTGAGGACTGTTAGCACACATGAGACCAAGAAGTGCTTTTAACTGGCTGAAGCATTAAGCTCTTACAGGACTGAAGAGAAGACAGGAATGCAGCGGCAAACATTTGCAAGGCTTAGGTCTAGTGAGAGAGTTATCCCAGGTGCAAGGTGTCCCTGGCAAGACTCAGAGAGTACCCAGATGTCTCTGAAGGGTGAGTTTGCCCTGTGAAGCCGAGGTAGGTGCATGATCTAGAGGAGCCACAAGTCAGAACCACCAGGAGAAACAGCTACCTCAGTGATGCTCA